TAAAATAATATTTTTAAAAATAAAATAAAATTTAAATTAAAATTTTAAAAGAATCATACCATAGTGATATATGTGCACCCACATTTATAGCGGGACAGTTTTTAATAGCTAAAACTTGCAAACCACCCAATTGCCCATCAACTGGAGACTGGATAAAGGAGATGTGAGTTTTTTATAAAATGGAGTACTACTCAGCCCTAAAGAACAAGAAACTAGAGACATTTATAGCTAAGTGGATGCACATTGAGGTGTTACTGTTAAGTGAAATAAATAGGACACAGATGTGTAAATACCTAACAGTATCTCTGGTGTGAAAAACTAAAAGTGTAAATAAGGATCAAAACCTATAATTGATATTTTCTAACAGGAAAAAAAGGTCCAAAGTGGTAGGGGAAATGGGAGGGGAAGGGGAAAGGAAAGAAGGGAAAGGAAAAAATGGAAATGAAGTGTTTGTCAATAAGGAAGGGTGGAGGGGGTGAAGGGAGGGCAGGGGAAGGGGAAAAATAGGAACCAAGATACATCGTGTAAAGGTACAAGATCCCAATGATGAATGTAAGTGTACTGTACACCTAAAATGTACCAATAAACTTAATGGAAAAAAATATGAAAAAAGGCTGGGGGCTGGAGCTTATTGACATAGTACTTGCCTAGCATGTTCAAGGCCCTGGTTTCAATCCCCACTGCTAGAAGAGAAAAAGGAATTGAGTTTTGGCACATGCAACAATATAGGTGAACCTTGAAAACATCACATTAACTAAAATAAACCAGACACAAAAGATGTCTATTGTATGGCTCCACTTAGATGATATAACTAGATTCAGCAATGTATGGAGACACAGAGTAGATTAGAAGTTACCAGAGATTGACAGAAGGAGGACATGGGCTGTCGTTGCTTGATGGTTACAGTGACGATGAGTTTGGGGTGCTGAAAAAGCTTTGGAAAGAGATAGTGATGAGATTTGCACAAACCTGTGAATGTGGTTAACACTACTGAATTTAAAAATGGTTAAAGTAGCAAATTTTATGATACGTACTTTTACCAAAATGAAAAAATGTTTAATCCTTCTCATTTTCTCTCAGCTACACCAAAGCAATTAAGGATATGATAAAGCCAGGTGTGGTGGTGCACCCCTGTAAAGCCAAGCACTCTGGGAGTCTGAGGCATGAGAATTGCAAATTCAAGTCTAGCCCTGGCAATGTAGTGACTTAGAAAGACCTTGGCTGAAAATAATAAATAAAGGGTGCTGGGGATATAGCTCAGTGTGAAATCTCTGGATTCAATCCCCAGTACAAAAAAAGAAAAAAGAAAAGAAAACAGCTGGAAGATAGTAATCAAAATAATAGCATTTAACTGTGGGATTCTAACAGGAGAACAAACAAAGGCTAGTGACCAAAAAGAAAAGTGAACTTCTTAGCCAAAATACAAGAATGCTGGACATAGTGTTGGTCCTTGCTCTCTACTGATCTAACGCGCTCTCCAGGGTGGACCAAACTGGAGCAGGCTCAGTGGTGCCCTCGACTGGCCAGCATTACGCACTGTAGACGATATAACCCAAAGCAAAGTCAAGGAAATGAAGATAGAGGGAAAAGACATGCTTTATTGAGTTTATGCTACTCTCAGGCACCATTAGACAATCCATTTCACTTGGTATGAGATGCACTCCTGTTATCTAGGTGGGGAAACTAAGTCTCAGAGGAGGCAGGTGTTAATGAAAATCTAGTGTGCCATGAATGAGGGACAGTGAGTCCTTATTGCAAAGCCCCACAGCCACGGGCCAGGGTCCTCCTGAGGGCCACCCTCACCTCCTTGTTGCGCAGCGTGTACACCACAGGGTTCAGCAGTGGAGTCACCACTGTGTAGAACACGGCCACCAGGCGGTCCTGCTCGGGGTTGGCCCCAGAGTCCGGACGCAAGTAGATGATGGCAGCGCAGCCAAAATGCACAATGACCACGGTGAGGTGGGCCGCACAGGTGGAGAAGGCTTTGTGGCGGCCGGTGGCTGAGGGCATCTTCACAATGGTAGCCACGATGAAGGTGTAGGACAGCAGGATGAGGAGGAAGGAGACCAGCACCACGAGGACACTCAGGAAAAAGATGCCCAGTGCTTTGCGTGCACCCTGGGTGCAGCTGAGCTTCAGCACTGGGGCGATGTCACAGAAGAAGTGCTCCACGCGGGCCCCACGGCAGAAGGGAGAGGAGAAGATCATGCAGGTCTCAATCGAGGCCACTGAGAACCCAGAGCAGAAAACCAAGGCTCCCAGGCAGAGGCAGACAGTGGGTCTCATGATCATCGAGTATCTCAGGGGATGACAGATGGCCACGTACCGGTCATAACCCATCAGGGTAAGGAGGAAGCAGTGACTGCATCCCAAGCCCAGGAAAAAGAACATCTGAGCCCGACATGCAGGGATGGAGATGGCCTGGCTCTCCATCAGCAGATGAGCCAGCATACTGGGGATGGTGACCAGCGTGTAGCAGGTCTCAGAGAGGGACAGCACTGCCAGGAAGCGGTACATGGGCGTGTGCAGGGTCCGATCCACATGGATGATGGTGATGATGGTGACATTGCCACTGAGGGTGACCAGGTAGGTGAGGAGGAACAATGTGAAGAGCGTGGTCCTCAGGTGTGGGAGGTTGGAGAATCCAACCAGCACAAATTCTGTCACCAGCCACGTCCCATTTCCCCACAGCTTCTCAGGAGCCTGAGAGGAGACACAGAAAAATGGAATAGAGCAGCATAGTGAGGGCCTGCTAGGCATCAGCAAAGCAGGAGAATCATCCCTCTCTTCAAAACAGGACAGAGGACTCCAAAATGCTATGTCATTTCCTTTCCTAATATCACCCAGAGGATGTTTCCTCAGTGGATAAGAAAATCATAAGAAGTGGTGGTCCACACCTGTAATCCTAGCCCTCTGGGAGGCTGAGGCAGAAGGACTGAAGTTCTACCCCAGCCTGGGAAAATTAGCAACTTAGCAAGACTCTGTCTCAAAATAAAAAAGATGGGGCCAGGGATTTAGCTCAGTGGTTCCCGAGTTCAATCCCTGGTACCCAAAAAATAAAAAATAAAAAAAATTTAAAAGATGGGTAAGCAAGGCATACAGTACTCCAAATAGCCATGATCAGAAAATACATTATGATACATCATAGTCAAAATCCCAGAAGTCTAAAATAAGGAAAGAATCTTCTTTCTCCCCTGATACTGGGAATCTACCTCAGGACCTTGCACTTGCCAGGCAGGTGCAGCACCACTGAGCTACATCCCCAGGGGAAAGAACCCTAAAAGCTGTTAGAGAAAAAAATCACTTATAAAGGAAAACTAATTAAAATTACATCAGACTTCTTAACACAAGCCTTAAAGGGCTTGGAGTGAAGCCCTAAAAGAAAACAACTTCCAACCCAGACTGATATATCCTGCAAAACTATCTTTCAAAATTGATACAGAAATAAGGTATCTCCATTACCAAAAAAAAAAAGTCATTATCACCAAACTAGCATTCCAAAAAATTCTCAAAGGTATCTTAGAAAGAGATAATAAAGTCAACAATGGCAAAAAGTCTAATAGAATGAATACACCAGGCAGGATGAGCAATTTAAAAAAAGGTGGAGAGAGGAGGGAATCAGTAACAGGAAAAGAATGTGATGGCAGGCATCAGAAAATACCATTCGGTAATAACTCTCAATATGATATTCTTGATTCCCCAGTCAAAAGTCACAGATTAGCCAAGCATGGTGGCGCAAGCCTGTAATCTCAGCACTCCTGAGGCAGGAGGACAGTCACGAGTCCAAGGCCAGCCTGGGCTACATAATGAGTTTAAGGCCAGCCTGGACTACACAGTGAGACCCTGTCTCAAAAAAAAACAAAAAGATACAGATTGGCAGATTGGATCACAAACCAAAACCCAATGTTATGCTGCATACACAGAAACATAGTTAATCCAAAAAGTTTATCAAAGGATAGAAAATACTATGCCATGCAATGGGAGCCCCAAAGCAAATAGAACAGCTAACCCATTTTGAGATACAATGGACCTCAAACCAAAACTGATCATAAAAGGCAAACAAGGTCACTACATATTGGGAAAAGGAAAAACTCAACAGGAAGAGTTGACGATTATAAATATAAATGCACTGAATACTGGAATGGGCACATTTAACTTTATAAAACCAACACTAATGGACATGAAAGATAAGGTAAATATCACCACAGTTACAGACAGATCAACTATCCAAAAGAATCAACAAAGAAATATTAAGAGTTGAACTATATCTTCGAACAACTGGTCTTAATTCATATCTAGAGTATTCCACACAATAGCATAAAATATACATTCTTCTAAGCAGCATATGGAACTTTCTCCAAAATAGACCACATCCTAGGCCATAAAATACTTAAGTAAATGCAAAAGTGTCCAAATTATCCCATGCCTATTATCAGATCATAGTGCAAGGAAACTAGAAATCAATGGCAAAAGAAACCACAGACATTTGCAAATACATGGAAATTAAACTATTATACTCTTGAATAATCAGTGAGTCACAGAAGAAATAAAGAAATTGAACAGTTGCTACAATCAAACGATAGCACCAGTACAACATACCAGAACCTATGGAACACAATGAAAGCTATCCTAAGAGGGAAGTTTACAGCTCTAAATGCCCACATCAGAAAAACAGAGTGAGCCCAACTAAATAATCTAATAATAATACACTTCAAGGTCATAGAAAAACAAGAACCATCCAAATCCAGAGCTAGTGCAAGGACAGAAATTATGAAGATCAGGGCAGAAATTAATGAAATCGAGACTACGAAGGAAAGAGCTGGTTCTTCATAAAACAGACGAACTCTTAGTAAGACTTATAAAAAAGAGAGAGGAGGCCAATACCAAAGCAATTAGAAATGAAAAAGGTGACATTACAACGGATACCACTGAAATCCAAAAGATTATTAGTTATTCTGAAAACATGGACTCCACTGAATTAAAGAATCTAGAAGAAATGGATAGATTCTTAGGCACAACATATAAATGATCAACCCTCAACCGAGGAGATATAAAATCCCTAAACAGTCCAAAAACAGAGACTGAAATTGAGGCGGTAATAATCAAAAAAGCCCCACCATCTGAGAAAAGCGCACGACGTGATGGAGTTGCCTCTGAATTCTACAAGAACTTCAGAGAGGATCTAACACCAATGCTCCTCAAGCTCTTCAGTGAAATGGAAAGGGAGGGAGTGCTGCCAAAGTCATTGCTGGAAGGTAGCAATTCCTTGTTCCCAAACCAGACAAGGATTCAACTGAAAAAGAAAACTACAGGCCAATCTGCTTAATGGACATGGATGTAAAAATCTGCGACAAGATACTGGCAAACAGGATGCAGCAAATCATTAAAAAGATCATACATCCCAGAGATGGAAAAATGGTTCAACATACACAAATCAGTGTAATGCATTGCAGAAACAGAAGCAAAGACAAAAATCATACGATCATCTCAACACATGCGGAAAAGATCTAAAAAACTTCCAACATCTATTTGTGATTTTAAAAACCTGCGCAGAATTAGATACAGCAGGACCTTACCTCACTCTGATAAAAGCCATTTATGACAAATCAACTGCCATCATATTAAATGGGGAAAAATTGAGGGCGTTTCTCTAAAATCAGGAACAAGACAAGGATGTTCACTATCACCACTCTTGTTCCATACAGTTCTGAAAGCTTTAATCAGAGCAATCAGACAAGAGAAAGAAATAACAAGTATATACATAAAAAAGGGAGAAGTCAAATTATCCTTATTTGCAGATGTCATGATCCTTTATGTAGAGCACTGAAAAAATTTCAACAAAACTCTGAGAATTAATAAGCAAATTCAGGAACATAGCAGGATGCAAAATCAACACACAAAACTCAATAGCGCTCCTGTGCACCATCAACGAGCCCACTGAGAAAGAAATTAGGAAAACAATACCATTCACAATAGCATCAAGAAAAATTAAATGCTCTGTAATTAACCAGTGGAAGCAAAAAACCTCAACAAGAAAAATGACACTACTTGGACAAAGGAGATTAAAAAGGGCATCAGAAAATTTAAAGCTATGACCTTTTCCTGCAAAACCAATATTGTCAAAATAGCCTCATTCCAAAACTGATACACAAATTTGACATAATCCCAATCAAAATACTGACAGCAATTCTCACAGAACTAGAAAGAATAATCCTAACATTCATATTGAAGGAGAAGAAATGCAGAATAGCAACAGCAATCCTGGGTAAGAGGAGCAAACAGAAGGCATCCCAATCCCAGACTTCAAGATCTACAGTACTGTGGAGTTCCTTGCAGCGTCAAATACGTTTACATCGGCTCCAGTTGGCTCTGGACACAGAAAATTGCTATCTCTGAGGAGCTGGAAAAACTTGAAGACAGGTGTTCTACCAGCAGTGAAACAAGGAGAAACATCCTGGGAACAATTCGATAGTTAACAATTTGGCATAATTGTCATCATGCCTATCTAATCTAAAGAATCCACCTGTGTTCAGCAGGACACAGCACTTTTGTTTGTTTCTGGATAAAACTGGGAGGTTAAGTCAGCTCAGGGCTTCATTCTGGTGAAGCCCGCTGACTTCCCCACAGTGATATTCTCTGTCTCTCCTGTCTTCTTTTGTCTATCAGGGTTTGCTGGCCTGATCCGGCACAGTACTACAAAGCAGCAGTGATAAAAACAGAAGGGTAGTGGCACAAGAACAGACATGTGGAAGGGCTGGGGATTAAGCTCAGTGGCACCACACCTGCCTTGCAAGAGCAAGGTCCTGAGTTCGATCCCCAGTACCAAAAAAAAAAAAAAAAAAGACAAGTGGATCAGTGGGATGGAGTAGAGGACGCAGAAACAACTCCAGGCTCAGCCATCTAATCTTTGACAAAAGGACCAAAAATGTACACTGCAGGAAAGATAAACTCTTTTTTTTTTTTTTTTGGTACCGGGGATCAAACTCAGGTCCTTGCACTTGCACAGCAGGCAGCAAAACCACTGAGCTAAATCCCCCGCCCAAGATAAGCTCTTTAACAAGTGTTGCTGGGAAAACTGGCTATCCATATGCAAAGATTAAATCTAGGCCCATATCCCCAACCATGTACTAACCTAAAATGAAAATGGGTCAAAGAACTAAATATTAAAACAGAAACAATCTACTGGAAGATAAAATAGGAAAACTCTTAAAGATGTAGGTGTACACAAGGACATTCTGACCTGAATCCTAATTTCTTTTTTCTTTTTTTATTAGTACATGTTTGCAGTTCATGCAGTTTACAGTCACCTCTGGGAGTGGTTACATGTATGTATTACAGCTTGGGGTTTTTTTATTGCCCTTCCCCTTCTCTCCCCCTCCCCCTTCCTCCTCAGGTTCGGTGATCCCCTTTTTCATACTTACTGACATTATTTGTTTGGTTCCTGTTCTGGTTCACATTAATTGGGGTTATGAGGCTCCTGTGCATGGCACATCTGTATTCCTCTCATTTCCCTTTCCCCTCCCCCTTTCCCCTCTCCCTTGTTCTCTTGGACATTTTCCTATTGCAAGTGATCCACCCCCTTGTCCCTTTCCATCCATCCTTTATCATTTTCTTTGCTTGTACTAAGCCTCACTCGAATGAGAGATATTATATGGTATTTAAGCTTGTGTGTCTGGTTTATTTCACTCAACATTATATTTTCT